AGGATAAACTTCACCTGTGACAGCATTGAAAATCTCTGAGGCCCACCTGCACCTGTGTTCATTGCAGGCTGCCCGGCATTTACAGGAGTCTTGGGGAAAGGCAAGTCCTGTGCATGCAACGAGGAAGGTGGAGAGCGCTGAGGGCGGAGCCCAGTTGCTCTCGTGTTCCTGGGAGGAGCCTAGTTGCTCTCGTGTGTCAGTCTTCCATTGTGGTCTTCACAGACTCGCTAGAGTAGAAGTCGGCTTGACAGCAGGTTTGTTTTGATTTAACCCCCTTACTATTTGATCAAATTGACTCCATATCCAGGAGGCCTATAAAAGAGCGTTTTGGTTAGCCAAGCCAGAAATTCCTCTTCTTAGATCAAATGCAAAAAATAGAGGTAAAAGGAACCTTCCGCTTAGCTTGCCACTTTGTTGTGAAGGGTTTCCAAAGAGCCGCTGGTGAGTTTGAACCGACCTTGTGGGGGGGTACCGTGTTGTGTTTATTCCACAGCCCCATACCAGGACTCTGTAGCTTGCCACTTTGCTAAGTGGTAAACGTAAATACTCACTTTTTCTGAGACAATGAGCTTTCTATATTGCCTTATCACCTTCCTGGGTCATGGACCCGAGGCCTCAATTATCACCTTAAGTGTGGGGGGTGGGGGTGGGATGAGGGTGGGGAAGCAGAGAGAAACCACAAAAAAGAAAACATTGCCTTGAGGCTGTTTTGTCTTACAGTGACTCCATGTGTTGTTGTAGCGTGGAAATGAACCCCCAAAGCTTTTGGAGATTTGAAAAAAAAAAAAGGTAGCCAAATCAGTTGCCAGGGATTCCTGCTCATGGCACCTTGTGTGTCCTGAAGGAAAACTGCACTCAATAACTCAGAAACTGAGTTCCAGGGGATTTCAGGAGCTGTGATCTTTCAGAAGTTGGTGGCCAGCTTTCTTCAGAGTTGTCTCTGGGTGAATTCGAACCACTGACCTTTACCTTAGCAGAGTGCTTGATGGTTTGCACTACCCAGAGGCTCTAACAGGAGACAAGGTGCCTCTTGTTGCAGACTTCTGACTAGACTTACACGGTCTGCAACAGCCTCTGGTCACTGTGGGCAGGCTCCATGAGGGAGCAAAAAGACATTGTATTACAGGTGGGGCTCACTCCTGGCATGTTGGGACCCCTGGAAAGTTTTTGAAAACTGCAAAGGTAGAATGGGAACCAGAAAGCTATTCTAATTGAGGAGCTTCTGATCTGCAGCTGGGCCTGAAGACCATTACCAGGGTGGGAGGGTAATGGTCTTCAAGCCCAGCTGCAGATCAGAAAAGCTAAGTACTTCACCCTTCAGGTCAGAAGAAGCAACCTTCCTAAGAAGCGTTCTTAGAAAAAGTTCTTGTGACCAAAAACTTTAAGACAAAGTAGTCATTGAAATAAATGCCTTTTGTTTTCTAATAATTGTACCTGTAGCCAACAGACTAGAGGGCTTTCCTACTGGGAGCACCAGTAAGACTCCTCTTTGAATGTTGAACTGTGGGTCCAACCTTCCTTTCAGGCCATTCAGCAGCACATGTTGACTGGGTCTAGTGACCATCGGATGCCTCACTGCTTGCCCTTGGCATGGCCTTTCATAAAGCCAGCCTAGTCTCCTGGCCACACTTTAAGGTCCTTAGGTGGGGTCAGGTCTGCCATGTCACTACTGCTGTCCCTACAGCCCAGGCCCTCACATACCTGGGCAGCCTGAGCTTTAATTGGTGGTGTGCCATGGAGTCAGTTCTGACTCATAGTGACCCTGTATAGGGGTCATAAATCTGTATGGGAGCAGAAAGTCTCATCTTTCTCCTGCAGAGTGGCTCACAGATTTGAACAGCTGACCTTTTGGTTAGCAGCAGCTTAGCTCAGAATCTCCTACCTTACCAGAGCTCCTTTGAGTGGTACCTTAAGTGTCTTCAGGATTTTCAGGAAATGAGCTAAGATTCCCGATTCCCCGAGTTCTAGTGTGGTGCTGTAAGATAAGCACTGGACTGCCTAAAGGTCAGAGGTTCTAACCCACCAGCCACTGCTTGGAAACCCTATACAGGGTTGCTATGAGTTGCAAACGACTCAACTGCACTTAACACAATGTTTCAAGGTAAGTGGGTTTAATAAATAACAAACAGGAAATAGGAACAAAAATTGGAGGAAAAGATGAAGCCCCGTCATAGACTCATCACCCCTCCTGAAGTTCTTTCCTGGGCCATGCTTATTTTGGGGCTCCGCAACTTCAGAGACTGGGACGTCGCCATTCCCCAGACCGATACCCTGGGAAACATTGTTCTATTACTCCTCAGTGTTGAATACCAAGCTAACTCCCCAGGACAGGACCTTAAGTGACTTCGAGTTTGTTCTGACTCATAGCCTGTGTAGGGTTTCCTCGGAGCAGCTGTTGAGCTTGAACCTCTAACCTTGTGGTTCAAATCAACCTTGCAGCCCAGTACATTAAACCACAGTGCCACACTACGACAGCACTTTGTGCTAAGTGTTGTTGAGTCTGTTCTGATTCATAGTGACCCTGGTGAGCTTGAACTGCTGGCCTTGTGGGTCAAACTAACTTTGCAGTCCTGCGCATTAAACAACAGCATGTATGACCACACAATCTAGCTTGACTCCTTACTGATCCTCACACATCCCTGTAAAGGTCCCTGTCTCTTGCCTAAGGATAAACAACAAATGTCCCCTCTCAGAAACCTAACTGAACCTCTCCCAAGCACACTCCCCCATTCAAATGGTGGACATACATCGTGACCTAAGGCCACATCTAGCCCTCCAGGGTATAATTGACCCTCAGATGTAGCTGGGCACCTGGTGTCTGTTATAGTTTACCTTTCCCAGCAACCCTGACTGCTCTGGCCAGATGATAGAAGTGCGTGTGTAAGCTCTCGGTGCGCCTGCAGAAGAGGGATGCCCCTCTCATCTTACGGGCTGGAGTGAGGGCCCAATGGCTGTGGCTCCTGCTGCCGCCACGGCTGCCATCTGAAACCCTGGATGCCATTGGCAATGGGCACCACACCCAGTAGAGCTTCGAGGGGGCTTCAAAACACTAATGGGAAAAACAGAATTTTCCCATGAACTTTTGGAAGTCCCCTCATCCAAGGTGGGAGCTGAGATCTCAGACACTGTGGTAGGCTAACTCCGACTGTGTTAAGACAGTCTCATTCTGAGGATCTTTGGGATATCTGAAGCTAATGCAAAGGAATGCCGACCCCATCATGGCTACCTGTGCCTCTCTGGTCTGCAGACCTGCATGCGGAGTGACCCGAATTCCAAGTCATTTTGTGCCTTTGGTACTCCATCTCCATGGCAGTACTTGTTATGGGGTGGAGTGCAGATTCTTTGGCCTGTTTCCTCTACAAAGTAGTGAGTGACCTGCTGTTAGGGGCATTTGTGTTTCTGGCCCTGCTGCTGTGACTGTTAAGTGCTGTTGAGTTGGTTCTATACAGGGTTTCCAAGGAGCAGCTGGTGGGTTTGAAGCGCTGACCTTGTGGTTCACAGTCTGGTGTTGTCTAGAAGCACTTAAACCGTTTTATTTAAAGTAAGCAGCAAAGAGCAAGTGTCTCTTGTCTCAGGGAAGGCCCAGGGAGTGTGTCTCAGAACTGCTGTGGATGCTTAGTGAGGGTTGTGAGAAAATGCCCCCGGGCTCTCCTCACTTTCAGATAAGAACTGTGGCTTCAAAAGGGGCAAGCAGCTCTACACTGGAACTGCTTTAAATGTCTTTTTGAAAAGCTGAAAACTTGTTTGTTTGCTTTCCATTAAGGTGCCTCCTTACCATATATTTAAACATTTTAAAAGATGTGGCCATCTTTTAAAAGGTAATATAACTTGCTTAACTTTCTCCACCTTGGAAAGTCGAAAAATTAAAATGTGCTTATGATTTTTCCCTACCTGTTATACTCCTTTTTAAAGAAATAGGATGTTGACTGAGAAAAATAATCAAGAAATATTTTTAAGGCAAACAGAACCAGCTTTGATGACACCTAGAATTTCAGTGCAAACCTGGGTCTAGAAATAAGCTATGAAAGGGCTTCAAAAAGGTCATGGAAAAATGCAATTGAAAGATATGTAATTTTCCCATGAACTTTGGGAAACCCCTTCATATAGTGTAACAAATTGGCTGGCTCCTACTAGAGGCTCAGGGGTGGTGTTGCCGACTCTAGATCATGCTGCGTGGCCACAGGTAGCAGCTGGCTAGTTGCTATGTCCATCAATGTCAGGAGCAGAGCATTTGCCTATTAGTACCAGGTCAGTGACCAATGCATCCATCATCTTCTTTCAAAAATGTGTTTAATCTCATTCATGAAACCATTTCCAGTTCATTTTCCACCACTTAGAAAATGTAGGAGAAATCAAACATAAAATGTAAATAATGACATGAAAGATGTGTGACATACTGGGGTAAGGCGTGTCCATACAACAGTGTGAGTTGTGATTTACATATAACACAAGAATAAAAGTAAAATGACTCTCATTTATTGCTGTATCTATCCTTTCCCAGTAGCTTTAGTATCTTAAGTAGCCACAAAGTGGCACCTTCGAGTTTAAAACCATGTAATAGCTCCTTTATTACTCTTTAAATGCCATTTTATGGATTTTTAAAGCAGTAGCAGCAGTTACAAAATGTTGTCTAAGTAATCTTGAGAACTTAAAACAAGTTACTGTGTTGACTGAATAAAAAGATGTTCAATCAACAGGGCAAATTGTGTAACTTTAACAAACATCTTTAGTTGGAATCTTCTGATAAAACTCAACTGAGATGTGACTCACAGAGACCAAAAGTAAAATTATTTTTCCTTTCATGGTTTTGTGAGGTGGTTTGCAGCATTCTTGCAAACGATTTACAAAGTACAAGAACTGTTGCATGTGAGAACGAGGCATAAAAGAAATCATTTTCTGACAGAAGGAGCAGTGGGGGCACAGGGAACTTCCCTAGCACACCCTGTCACCACCCTCCCCAAAGATGAACACCCCAAAAGTGACAGTGGAAGCCTGGACAGCAGCAAGCCCCCTTTAACAATTCTTTTTGGTTGTTTTAGAATACAAGTACTTTCTGACATTTCCCTCCCACATCCATGAGCCCCACCCCAACTTGGCAGGCTACAAGCCCACTTCCTCTTGCTGAGTTCTCCCCTTAGGATTATTTACAGATGTCTACAGATAACGGTACAAACTAGTATGAAACTAATGATAGTTTGCATTTTCAGACACGCTCCAATGGCCGAATAAACACACCACGCTGATTCCGAAGAATGGTTCAAAGTTAAGGTGACTCCGAAGTACTTGCATCCATAACTGCAGAAACTTGCTTCTCACTGGCCGGGGGAGCGGACTCGCTGACTCTGTCCTCAGCAGTGGCCGGGGCCTTTGCAGTAGGGGGCATCGAATCCAAGGTGAGTGAGGAGACCGCGTCTGCCTTTGCAGTAGTTGTAACAGGGTCAGAAGGTGGGTTGCTGGGAAGTGGAAGGGAAGACAGCAGCTCCCCAGAGCCAACTGCAGAAGAGACCTCTGGGACTAGAGGGAATGACGGGCGGAACTCGGATGGCATGGAGAGGGGTGCAATACCAGGCAAGTTTCGGGGAGGCAAGGAAGGAAGAGGTGCCAAACCTAGGACAAAAATAGCATACATCACACATCTTCCTAGCGCCAAAAGAGCAGTGATAGCCAAACAAACCACAAACTTTGTTTACCCCCAGTTGAAGCTACAACAGAGGACAGTATTTGCTGTGACACCAGTTGCTCAGGAGCAAAGGTTCCCCTGGCTTCTAGGCTCCAGTACTGAGGGAAGAAATGATTCTCACATTCAGGACAGACGGGCCACACAGCAGATGATGCTCTTCCACCTAATGTCAGTGGGAGAACTCATACTTGTCCCAGGCAAGCTGCCAGCTTACAGCTGCTGTCCTGACAGACAACAGGATGAGGAGCCAGAGGGACCAGGCCTTCTGTGGAAGCTGCGGAGGAGAGGAGCTTGTTTCAGCCCCTCCCAATAGTCTCACCTAGATATACAGCCTCTGCTTAAGTCCAGTCATCAAGAATACGCTATTAGGGGGCTGCAGAGTTGCTTCTTTAATTAAGAAACAGAGGAAAGGCAAGTTGTAAAACAGAGAGGTTCAGGGAAGCCATTGCACTAGTGAATCTCCTAATGCTCTCAGAGTGTCAGTATGAGGAAAGGGCAGAGGAGGAACTGGGAGAGTATGAGGCATAAAAGACAAGACAAAGGGAACATGAAGGCAATACAAGTGAGAGTTCACTAGGCATTCCTTTGTTTTTTAAAACCTCATACTGAGGAACTAAGTCCGTTTAACAGGATGGGCTAATGAATATATACATATGAGCGTTACTACAGGGAAAGGGATATATATAATTGAGACAAAAACATGTGAAACCTAGACATAGTGACAAGATACACTATGGTGTAAAAAGAGGTCACTAATTGGTATCACTGATGGCCAATCCACTGAGGTCTGTAATGTACAATAATAACTGTGCCACGTGGGGACCCCAAGCTGTAAGGAAATGGGTGAGTGTTAGCTATCAGAGCCCATGCACGGGGCACTCTGCTGCTTGACTCTCAGTGCGTCAACAGAGTGCAAATGCTTGGGACATCTGCTACTTGTAGCTCAATTCCTCACAGCTGTTATTACAACATTTGTTAAGAATGGAGAATATTTATAAAATAACAAGCCCAGTTATCTGCACTCAGCTGAAGTTTCTAGGCCTGGGCTACACAAAATAGGTGCCCCTGCCCTAGTGGCAGCTGTCCAAACACCAACAACAGAATGTGGGATTCATTCACCTCTGGGCCGACTGTATACCTTTCAGAATACAGCCCTGCATTCCTACACCTGGCCTTTAAAGGGAGGAGGCAGGCAGAGGAGAGCAGAGCAGCTGGGAAATGCCTGCAGCCTCACAAAGCTCCTAGGTGGCCTCTGTAGACAATGCTCTTATGGTCCTAGTTGACTGTCTCCCTCAGAGTCACAAACATCTTCTTTTAAATAAAAAGACTAAATTTATTGGAAGTAGTGGAAATCTGTTAAGTTGATTTATCCTTTTTGGGAAAACAAAAAAAACTGAAATAGAGGATCAGATTTCCTGACTGAAGTTTTTTATTTAAGAGGGAGCCCCTAAGAAGGTAGTATCTGCAACATACCGGGGTTCATGATTTCTGGTAAGCCAACACCCGGCATGATGTGTGGTGCAGGGAGGTTGAGGTTGGGAAGGGCAGATAAGTTAGGCAGTCCTGCTGGTAAAGGCATCAGACCTGAAGAGAAGACACCAAAGAACAAAAGGTAAGCCACTTCACTGAGGAAGGAGATCCTCTCATGTACCAATAGAGAGATTGCCCACTTCAGAGACAGAAACCCACCTGATGTCTGGCAGGTTTGTACTATAATAATGTTGAATCCATTTTGAGGGAGTGGAGGGAGGGAGGAGTGGAGGGAGAAGAGTGGAGGGGGAGGGGAGGAAAGAGTGGGTGGGAGGAGTGGAGGGAGGGAGTGGAAGGTGAGTAGGGAGGGAAGGGAGGAAGAGGACTGGAGGGAGGTAGGGAAGGAGGGGAGGGAAGGAGTGAGGGAGGTAGGGAAGGGTGGGAGGGAAGGAAGGGAAAGAGTGGTGGGAGGAGGGAAGGGAGGAGTAGAGCAGAAGGAGGTGGGGAAAGAGTGGAGGGAGGGGAATGAGTAGTAGAGAGGAAGGGAGGAAGCGAAGCACAGGAAAGAGTGGAGGGAGGGAGGGAAGGAGTGTGAGGGAGCTTGGGATTGGGAGGGAGTGGATTTGAGTGTGTGTGTGGTAGGGGACTGGGAGATGGGAAAAGAGCCCTGGGCTCTGCAGCTAATTAGCTGTGGTTAATGTCTGTCTACACAGAAGAGGCACCCCTTACTCTCATCTACCCACAAAACTACTGCAGAGATAAAGCGAGATTAAATCCTAAATTCACACACACATGTAAGAGTTCATTATTTTTTGAGATGGAAAATAATGCTATATGTCATTACCCACATGGCTCGAGTTCTCTGCTTCTTACCTGGTAATGTAGTAGCTGGATTTATTGGTGGTATAGGAGAAAGGGACTGGCTTAGCTGTGGTGGTAATAATGGTACTGTTGGTACACCTAAGATAAAAGCAATTGATCATCAACAGAATTTATTAAGGCAATTTTCAGTGCTGGTTTACTCAAATAAAAATGCTGGTCTCTTCCAATCTCTTTTAAGAAATTCTAAATGTAAACATAAGAAGCTCAAGAATAAAAGATGTTAATTAAATTAAACTATGTCAGCATTTCATTCACTTAACATTTATTACCAAGTTAAGAATGGTTATTATTAACCCAACAACTGCAATCCTAAGTATGTACCCCACATAAGAACAAGTCCACTTCAAAACCTGTGCATGAATATTCAAAGCAGCACAATTCATATAGCTCCCCACCCCTTAAAATGGAAAAACCCAAAAGTTCCTTAGCTGATGGATAAATAAAATAATGATTCATATTATCCCAAGGATGAACCTTGAAAATATGCTAAATGAAAGACGCCAGTCACGAACAACACTATTGTATGATTCTATTTATATGAAATGTCCAGAACAGGTAAATCCACAGAGATAGAAAGTGGCTGAGTGGTTGCTTAGGGGCACTGGGAAGAAATGGAGAATGACTGCTAACGGGTACAGTGTCTTTTTTGAGGTCATGAAAATGGTCTGAAATTGACAGCAGTGACAGCTGTGTGAACACACCAGCAAACCGTGGAATTGTATCATGTACCACAAAGAGGAGGAGAGAGGGGGAGAGGGGAGAGCATGTCTCCTAAGAAAGATGAGTCCCTAACAAAGGAATGGTGTCAATTTTGTATCCCCAGTGCCTTCTACTTAGAAGATACGCAAATGTTTGTTGAGTAAATAGAGCAATGACACAGAATTTAAAGGTGGATTACTGACTCTTAAGAGCTGCGGAATCTAAAAGAAGAGGTGCAAATGTTGGCCCTGTGTGTATGATACCTCAGCACCTGCGCCCAGACAGAACACAGTTCCTGCTTTCAAGGTACTCTGGCGTTACTTCACAAAATCCTACAGTTGAGATGGAAAAGGAGAATCTCATGAAAAACAAAATAGGTAGAAAACAGAAAATTTATTTCTGCATACCTGTACTGAGAACATTACTGACAGCTGGAGGAGTTGAGCTAATAGAAAGTCCAGACAAACTCTCTTCAATTCCTGTAGTTCCTGGTGGTGACAAAGATGGGGGATTCACTGAGGACAGCTGGACCTTCCAAAAAAAGAAAGAAAATTAATTGCATTTACTTGAAAGAAAATATAAATAATGGCTCTGATTTGTCTTACAGGTAGGTACATTTTTGATCATACACTACTTGTCCAAAGTTTCCACTTGCACTCTGCTTGCAGACACTCCATCCTCCATGTGACACATGCTGGGGCTGTGTACTGTGAGCATCTCTCCATCCTGTCCCTTGTCACACCCATGATGCCATGTTACACACTGTTCTAATGACTCCCACTCGAGGAGCCTTGAACTCACACTGCCTAGCCACCCCAGAGGCATTTGACTCAACCCTTAAAATACCACTGCTCTGTTCTGTTCTGAGAATTCCCTGCAGGTTTTGTTTAAAATTTCCATTGCTGGTGGAAGGAATCACCTGGAAGTCTTAATACCAGGAGAGAGTCCTTACAAGTTTCTCAAGATTTCTAGCATCATGAGTCCATTTCATTTCTTTTCACCAATAAACAACTGCTGCAGTCAGATCTCTACCTTTTCAGGGAGAACAGATGGGCTGTTTCACCTGTGAATACTCCTATCCCTATCTTCCCCACTTGGTACCTCCCTACACTCTGGCCCTTTCCCTGGTTGTCACTTCACTCTCTGATGGTCCCAGGCTGCATGCAGAGGCCCATCTGGGGTGGGTTGAACTGTCTGGGGCAGTGGAACTACACTAGCTCTGGCCATGAGCTAATGGGCTTCGAGGAATTAAACACTGAAATAGCTCCCACTTATTTCCTGTAGAACTGTGGAAGCCCAAATTGTATAGCATAAAACCACAGGGCAGTAGCCTTCACTTTAAACCTCAACAGTATTCTTATCCATTTTTTTGGCTGGGGTGGGGTGAGGCGTGAGGGGGGTGCTAGTTTGTTTTTTATTTAGCTGTGTAGATGAAAGTAACTGACCCTAGATCCCTCTTCTACAGCGAGATTGAAAAGGTCTATACTGTCGTGGTTGTGCTCAGTTTCACCTGACGGAAACCCCATGTGTGCAGTCTTTAAGGCGAAGACCTTCTGGAAGCTGGTCACCAACCTGTCTCCTAAGGCTTCTCTGAGGGAGTCTGAACTGCTAACCTAGTAGCTACGTGTGCAACTGCTCTTATTCCTTAAAAAAAGCGCATTAGTGGCATAATGGTTAAAGTGCTCAGCTGCTAATCAAAGTTGGCAGTTCAAACCCACCAGCCTATCTGTGGGAGAAAAGACCTGGTGACCTGCTCCTGTGAAAATGACAGCCTAGGAAACCCTGCAGGCAGTTCTACTCTGTCCTGTGAGACTGCTGACAGAACACAAGGAACACGGTAACAGCACCAACAGTCCTTTAAATGCCTCACTTTGATCCTATAATTGCCCACCATATACCGAGCTCTCCTTGCTTTCTCAATCAAGCTTCTTGAAATAGGAAGTACTAGCTAAGCAGTAAACAAGTGCTGAGTCAATTCTGACTCACAGCAACCCAAGTGTGTGAGAGAACAACTACCCTCCCAAATGGTTTTCAGGCTGTGACCTTCGGCAGCAGCTCTGATGCACCTCTGAGTAGACAGAATTAACAGTGTTGACTAGGAGCCCAGCACTTAACCATCTGTGTCACCCAGGGACTCCTAAGCACTAGCTCTCATCACCTATCACCCCAGGCATTGTCTATCATCTGATACTGCACCTGTCAAGTCCCTGAAACTGCTTGAGCCCAGGACAAGTTTTTTTTCCAACTTCCATTTTTTGTGCTTTCTCTCACTTGATTTCTGTAGTCACTGACAGCATGAACAGTGCTCTTTATCCTGAAGCTTTGCTCTTCCTCTGGATTTCTCCTCCAGAGCACTGTTCTCCAGGCCCCATTTCAATGCCAGCATTTCTCCAGATTCCAACCTCAGACCTCTGACCTCCACCAGATGGTGGTGGTGGGTTGTATGTCATGGAGTCAGTTCCAACTCACAATGACCCTGTATAGGGTTACTGAGGCTATACATTTTTATGGGAGCAGAAAACCTCATTTTTCTCCCAAGGAGTGGCTGGCAGATTCAAACTGCTGATGTTGTGGTTAGCAGCCCAACTCGTAACCACTAAATCTGCAAACCACTCTTTGCAAATGATTCCCAAACCTTTCATCTCTTAGCCCTGTTTTCATTTCTGAAATCTAGACCCCTGTATTTAACATCCATCTGGATATCCCAAAGACATCTCCAATTCAGCCTGCTCAATACTTAACTCATGAGCTGCCTGATCTCAGTGAGTGTGTCATTACCAAGTACACATGCATTTGACATATGTGAGTAGAAACGTTATCATACACTTAGCCAGGTAGTCATGTTGTCTTACCTCCGTAAAACCATCTTTAAGAGGAGTCATAGGTGGACCAGTCATTTGACCTGGAAGAGAAATTTTCTTTCCTTCTTCAAATGGGCGTGTAGGTATTCGATGCAAATAGCCATACCCAATGCCACATCCTAGGCTAAAAACAAACAAAAAAATTAATATAACAATGTTTCATTGTTATCAGTTTGCAGTTTTGAGATGTTTGAAATAGAACAAAATTTCATTATTTTTTGTTCAAGCATTCATAACTATCTGTGGTGCACTGAATTACTTAATGTCTCTTCTAGCTATAGTCTTTGTAACTCCCACCAAACAACGTTTTTGCTCTGCTAGATTGGGTAACAGAAGGAGGGAGAAGATGCTGATAGGGTTATATGATTCAGTTTTGAGTGGCTAATAGAGTTGTGACTGTAAACACTTAGAACTCTTAACATGTACACGATGAGCCATCTGAGAAGCAAGCATTGGGGATCTCACAACATCGAAGAAGAACCAGGAGCACAGTGCATCCTTTGGACCCTGAGATCGCTATGCATTAACCTCCTTGATCCAGGGACAGAAAGCTGTGACTCCGGAAGAGTGGCAGCAGAACCAAGAGCCAGAGATTGAGAGAGAGCAGTGGGCTTTCCAGCCCACAGAGCAAGTACAGGTGAGTGACTTGGGGCAGAAAGCTTGCTTGCAGAGTGGGGTGCCTCCAGGCACTTAACTGGGGGAACTGGGTTTGCTGTCCCATGGAGCTAAAGCCGAGTGTCTTCAGACTGAGCCTTATGGTGGAGTGGTGTGTCCTGTGGGCATTTTTTAGCAGCTCTGCTGAAAAAGCTGGACCCTCAACATTTCTGACCCTGAATCGTAACCCATTAACTTCTCTAGTAAACCCCATTAACTGTGAGAATGATGTCAGGTTCTGTGTGGCCATTGTAATGGATTATTGACCCCAGCTGAGTAGAGAATGTTGTGGGAGGGATGGTTGGTGTCATTCATTGCACCATCTGACACAATGCATATTTATTTATGTCTGTCTCTCCCAATAAAAAGCTTGTTCCTGGAGACCAGAGACCTTGTTTTGTTTACTGGCTCAATAGATCCTGGCACATGGTGGTGGATGTGTGCTATGGAGTTGATTCCAACTTAGAGCGACCCTGTATAGGGTTTCCAAGGCTGTAAATCTTTATGAGAGCAGAAAGCCTGACCTTGTGGTTAGCAGCCCAATTTATAATCTATTATGCTATCAGGGCTCCTTTGGCACATGGCAGACATTTAATAATTATTGAATGAATGACAAAAAAGAAAAAGTATTTTTGTATGAAGATGTCATTTATATACACCATATTTCAATCATAGAACCTGACATAAATCCATGTGTAATCCAGACTCCACTTCTAATTCATTCTTCCATCACCACTAAAAACATTTTTAATAGATAAGATCATATTGCTTTCTCACTTAACCTGGTCTCCCAATATTCCTTTCTTCATCTTTCTTTTGGGGAATCAATTCCCTATTGTGTGCAGTGCTAGAAGGACTGTCGATCTGGGGGTCCAGCCTGTTCACGCCAAGGAAGCAACTCATGACCAATCAAGTCAATCAACCTTTCTTGCCCAGAAATGAAAATCTTGGATGTCACAGAAAACCAAAAATGGCTTCATCACCTCAGAGGAATACTGAGGAAACTGCCAGCTCACTCTTGCTATCCAAAACTCCAGTGGTGTCCTAAGCCTGTTTCCTTGATTTTATGAGCTAGTCCATATCAATAAACTCATTTCTGTGATGAATTAACAGCTGGTTTCTACCATTTGGAACCAAAGAACCTCCTGTAAAATAGTAGTCTCATTGCCCCACCCCAACCCCCCATCACTGAGTTGATTCGTACTCACAGTGACCCTACCCTGGATAGAGTTTCTGAGGCTGGAACTCTACTTACTGAGTAGGCTGGGCACTTCTATTTCTATGCCTTTATTCTGCTAAGGCATCTACTATCTCCATGGGTACCACCACCAACAACCAAAGTTGGGTGAGTGGACAGTGGCTAATTTCACATCTTCCTTATCCAAACCCGATTTAAATTATGATTCTTCACACTACAAAAGTAATTGTTCTGCCTTCTCTCACTTTTCCTGCTTTCCTTCTATCATCAAAATAAAATTCCTTCAGTGGTCTCAATCTCAGATACTTTTAGAGGAAGAAAATAATAAATTTATACTGATCAAGGCTATCCTTTCAGAGGTAAGCTGAAACAAGATGCTTATTCATCACAATAACTGAATGGTGATGCAGAAGGTACTTAAGGCAAAAGCAAGACCTTCTCTAAACTTAAAGATACGCCAAAAATAAGACTGAAGAAAATATGCCATCAATGAAAGATACCCCAAAAATGAAACCGAAGGAAATTGGGATGTAATCAATGAAATGTGGTCAGTCTCCGGGGAAGGAACAAAATTCAGGATACATGGGGGTGGGGGTGGGGGGACTCCAAAATGTTTATGGAAAACTCTTTCAATTCCACTTCCCCCACAAACTTCTGAAGCTCCCTTGTATATGCCAAATGCATGGTCAGAGGGCAGACTCAGAAATATAGCTTCTATGGGGTAGATCTAAGCAATGGTGAATCAGTGGAATTGGATCTTGTCAAAATGAAAATGTTTTTTACAGAAAAAGTATAATCAACACAGAGTCTAAAAATACAGCCCCGAAGGACAAGAACGTAGCAAAGTTTGGTGGTGGTGTGCCGTGGAATCGATTCCTACTCACAGTGACTCTGTATAGGGTTTCCACTGCTGTCGTAAATCTTATGGAAGCAGAAAGCTTCATTTTTCTCCCGTGGAACCGCTGGTAGTTTTGAACTGCTGACCTTGAGTTTAGCAGCCCAGCTCATAACAACCACTATGCTACCAGAGCTACTTCTAGCAATGTTTAATCAACTTAAATAAAATTAAAGAAGCAGAAATGCTCTTTGCTTTTTGACTTTATTATTCCCAATCTCTTCTTGCATTTGGATTCCATGTTCACAGGTACTTTTGAGGCACTAATCTGATCTGAGAATTCTAACTGGAGAGGGGGCATTTTTCTATTGTAAATGGAAAAGTGGCCATTCTAATGAGTTCACAGCTTCTTCGCAAATTTAGTTTATATGAGGCAGCCCCCCTGAACTAATCAATGTTGAACACCCTAAAGGATCATATTTCTGTGTGTTTACAAATCTGAATAAGGAGCTCTGGTAGCGTAGTGGTTATGAATCGGGCTGCAAACCGCAAGGTAAGCAGTTTGAAACTACCAGCTGTTCCACGGGAGAAAGATGAGGCTTTCTGCTCCCGTAAAGATTTATAGCCTCGGAAACCCTGTGCAGGGTCGCTATGGGTCGGAACTGACTCCATGGCACATAACAACAACAACAACAACAAACCTGAATAGTTGATGATAACTTGTTTTACCTAGAAAGGCCAGATTCTTAGATGACACTTCTAGCTCACTTTTCTCAAAATGCAACAAGTTAGAATTCGGGTAGTGAAATACACTGAGACGAAGAACCTCACATAGCACATGGTAAAGGTTTTTGAGTCAACCAGAGGCTATACCTGGCTTGCAACAATACAATCATCCTTTTCCCAAGCCAGGGCTGGAACTTTTATAACTCGTTTATAAAAAGCTTCCAAATCTTAGGTTTTATGATTATGACTTACACTCTAGATTTCTTCAAATAAAATAAAAACAGCTGTTAGCTCAATAAAGAAAAGAAATATAGTCTACTGCGTTTCCTCAGAAGTGTGTTTTTAAAAACTGAACTCTTGTCTGGATATTCAAGGTCAGCTCTTTCCTTTTTACAAGAGGATTTTTATAATAAACCAGTAACTTTTTTTCAAAATAAATAAGTGTTTACAACACAACTGACTAACAAGTTTAAGTAATCATATCTTACTTAGCCTTAAAAAAGTGACCTTACCTGCCTTCTCCACCCCATGCTGAATTTGGGGTGATAATCACTTCTCGACAGTTATCAGTGTCTGTGTTGTACACATACAGTTTCAATGGTTTAGCTTCATGTGTTTCAATAAGGCTGAACAGATCTTCAGACTGCAAAAGCATCATAGGAGAAAAGTCTTTTATGTTTTTATACTCTAGAGCTGCTGGTGCAATGGGTCTCCAATCTGGCTATTTATTAGAATCACCTGGAAAACTTTTTAAAAAATACAGGCTCTGCCTTAGACATAGAAATAATTTCTTATAATGGACACACCAAACAAGCTTAATATGTTAGCTACCTAGTATGTACAAGGAGCTCTGGTAGTGTAGTAGTTACGAATCAGGCTGCGAACCTTAAGGTCAGCGGTTCGAAACTACCAGCCGCTCTGCGGAAGAAAGATGAGGCTTTCTACTCCCGTAAGGATTTACACCCTCGGAAACCCTGTACAGGGTCGCTATGGGTCGGAACCGACTTGACGGCACTTAACAACAACAATGTACAAGACAAGAGTCTTGGTGTGGTGCTGTAGGATAGGCAGTCAACTGCTAACAACAAAGTCGGCAGTTCAAACCCATCAGCCGCTCCTTGGAAACCCTATACAGGACCACTGAGTCAGAACACACTTGATGGCACTTAGCAACAACAATATACAAGACACTGTGCCCCAATTCCGTAAGAATTGAGCTGTGTCCAATTCCATAAGAAACTAATATTCTTAGTAAAAGTCTTCTAAATCCAAGTTCTACATATTCTACTCTTTTTCTCCATTGTTAATATTTGGTTATTAGGGCATCATTTTTTTTTCACCCTCCCATTTTAGATTTAGCAATGAGTGGCACTGTAGGATATGCACTGGACTGCTAATCACAAGGTCAGTGGTTCAAACCCACTGGCCCCTCCTCGGAAGCCCTATATAGAGTAGATATGAGTTGGCACCGACTCTATGGCACTATGTGACAACAACATACTCCCACTAGCTATTGGATGAGGAAAAGGATGTTACTAACATAGCTGAAAGGAACCCAGGTGGCACAAATGGTTAAGTGCTCAGCTGCTAATCTAAAGGTTGGTAGTTGAAACCACTCAGCTGTTTTCTAGAAGACCTGGCAATCTGCTTCTGGAGAGATTGGAGCCCAGAAAACCCCCTGGGGCAGTTCTCCTCTGTCACATGGACTTTCTCTAAGTGGAAAACTCCTCCATTTTAAACAGCAGCAATAGCACAGTCAAGCTACTTTAGTTGCCTTGAAAAAGCAAAAAGAAATGGAAATTAATGACCAAAATGGGTATAAGAGATTTCTGTAAGCTATTCAAGAAATCTGCACAGTTGCCACACTGATGTGTGTTTTTCCTCATAGCTATGCCTAATGAAACACCTCCCAGATGCTCTACTTAACACCCTGAGGCACAGACTTTCTTTATTAGCAAGATCTAAATTTTAACTTCAAATGAAAGGTCTACAGAGAATATTTCTGGACTCAAACATCAATGAGAAATTGTCCTATATGTATTACTGTTAGTAATAGAGTAATTACCTCATTCATGACTGTATCTGCCCCAATGATATAATCACTGTGAGGTCGAAGACCTGCTAGTGCTGCAGGAGAATTCAATTCCACTTCCTAGGATAACAGAAAAGCACGCTTCAAAATTCATATTTAAAATAACCTTCCAAATTTAATAGATCATAGTTCTTAATGATAGTGATTTAAAAAACCACCCAAATCATATTAAAGGTAAATTTAAAATGTGCACTCATAGAAATTAGAGGGTATTTAATTAATATTCAAAATACTTCTACAGGCATCTGCTTTAACACGTATCCATATAATGGACAAATTATATTTGCTTCTTTTTTATATGAGGGGGAGTCAAAACGTTTGTGGAAGAGTTGAAAAAGATAATGCTTCTCTTCCTTGAGTTTTTTCTTTGTAATTCCTATTTCAAAAGCAATGCATGCTGATTTTCACAATCTAAAAATAATACTTTAATAATTTAAAAAAAACCCTATAATCTTACAAAACCTCAGACAAGCACCATTAAAAGATATTTATACATTGCTTTCTTAAACTAAAATGAACACAGTTCAGTTGATACTTGCCAAAACATGCCAAACGTTTTCATTTGCCCCATCAAAGCTGCAGAAACGAATGCTCACTCCCAACAGGCCCTGACCACCCCACATGTTACTTGGTGTAACCAAGGTCTCTCTCAGCTCCAGTGTTTTACTGCTGTAGATAAGCATTTTGACAGGTTTTTCAACATTTGCTTTCAGTAGATCCTTAAGAGTATCATTGTCTTTATTCTGTGAACATAAAAAAAAAAACAAACAAACTTTACTTTACTAGATGTTAACCAATTTGCCTTAAGTATCCTATGGCCCAATAACATTAATAATCAACAAAAATAAAACATTCAGTATGTCAGAAGAAAAATAATTGTTTTTAAGTTATCAAAGAAAAAAGGCTTCATTAGCATCCAGATGTTCCTCAAAGTAAAAGAATAACAAGAAACTGAGAATAGCTCTTACGTTAGCAACAACTTTAAATGGGCTTTTCCAGAGTATGGAATTTGCAACTCAACATGGTTAACAGTGGTCTAGGGCTTGCTGTTAGATGCTGTCCAGTTGGTTCTGCTCATAGGAACCTTGTGCAGAACACATCAAAACACTGCCTGTTTTCCGCTTCATCCTCACAACTGTTGTTATGTTTGAGCTTATTGCTGCTGTCACGCTGTGTCAAACCACCTAACTGGGAATCTCTCTTTTACTGACCCTCTACCAAGCACGATGTCTTTCTCTAAGAATTGGTCCCTCCTGATAACATGTCTGAAATATGAGAGACAAATCTTGCCATCCTGGCTTCTTAGGAGCACTCTGGATATACTTACTCTAACACAGATTTGTTTGTTCTTCTGGCAGTTCACGGTACTTTTAATTGTCTTCTTCAACACCATAACTCAAATGCATCAATTCTTCTATGGTCTTCCTTATTCATTGTTCAACTTTCACATGCATATGAGGCTATTGAAAATACCAGGGCTTGAGTAAGGTGTACCTTATTCCTCAAACTGACATCTTTGCTCTTGTGCAGTAGAATTGCTTAATGCTATAAGTCGTTTGATTTCTTGACTGCTGCTTTCATGAGTGTTGACTGTAGATCCAAGAAAAATGAAGTTTTGGACCCTTTAATCCTTTGTCCCTTTATCATGATGCAATTTATTGCTCCAATGGTGAAGATTTTTGTTTTCTTTACATTGAAGTGCAATCCATACTGAAGGCTGTAGTGTCTAATCTTCCTCAGTAAGTATTGCAAGTCCTCTTTGCTTCCAATATGCAAGCTTTTTATCATCTGCATATTGCAGGTTGTTAATGAATCTTTCTCCAATCCTGATGCCACATTATTCTTCATATAATCCAGTTTCTCAGATTATTTGCTCAGCATACAGACTGAATAAATATGGTGAAAGGATACAATTCTTATGCACACCTTTCCTGATTTTAAACAATTCATTACCCCCTTAGTCTGTTCAAATGACTACCTCTTTGTACACACGTACAGGTTCCTCAGGAGCACAATGAAGTATTCTGGAATACCCATTCTCCACAACGTTATTCATAACTTGTCATGATCCACACAGCCTTTGCATAGTCAATAAATCACAAGTGGCACTGTAGGATCAACATTGAACTGTGGACCACAAAGGTGCCAGTTCAAACCCACCAGATGCTCCTTGGAAAGCTTGTACAGGGTTGCTTGCTATGAGTCAGAACCAACTCAATGGCACTTAACAAAAACAACAAATTTCTTTCTGGTATTGTCTGCCTTCAGCTAAGATCCATCTGATGCCAGCAATGATTTCCCTAATTCCATGTCCTTTTCTGAATATGGTTTGAATTTCTGACAGCTCCTTGTCAATTTACTATCGGTCATTTAAAAAATTTTACTTGCATGTGATAGTCATGATATTGTTTCGATGATTTCCCCATACTGTTGGGTCACCTCTCTTTAGAGTGGGCACAAATATGGATTTCCTCCAGGTAGCTATCTTCCAAACTTGTTGACATAGATGAATGAGTACAAGTACTTCATCAGTTTGTTGAAAGATTTCAATTTGCATTCCATCCATTCCTGGAATTTTGTTTGTTGCCAATGCCTTCACTGAAGCTTGGACTTCTTCCATCAGTACTGTTGGTTCTTGATCACAAGCCACCTCTTGAAATGGCTGAACACTGACCTTTTTTTTTTTTTTTTTTTTGTGGTACTTTGTGGACTCTGTATTCTTTCCATCTTCTTTTGATGCTTTCTGCATTTAATATTTTGTCTATAATATCCTTCACACTACAGTAAGTTGAGGATGAAAGTTTTTCTTTAGTTCTTTCAGCTTGAGAAATGCTGAACATGTTTTTTCCTTTTAGTTTTCAAACTCCAGGTCTTTGGACATTTCATTTTAGCACTTGACTTTGTCTTCTGCAGCTATCCTTTGACATTTTCAGCTCTTTTACTTCCTCATTTCTTCTACTCCCTTTAGCATCTCTACACTGGAGAGCCAAGTTTCTGAGTTTCTTCTGATATCCATTTTGGTCTTTTTAATGATCTTTTACTTTATTCCTATATGATGTTCTTGATGTCATCCTACAGCTCTTCTGGTCTTTGGTCATCAATGCCTAATGCATCAAATCTATTAGGTCTTTATATTCAGGTGGGATATGTTCAAAGTCACTATTTGGCTCTAGTGGATTTGTTTTAATTTTCTTCAGCTTCAGCTTGAACTTTCATACGAGCAATTGATAGTCTGTTCCCCACTCAGCCCCTGGTCTTGTTTACGCTAATGACATTGAGCTTTCCCACCACCTCTTCTCATAAATGTAATCAATTTGATTTCTGTGTAGTCCATTTGGCCAGGTCCATTTGTATAGTTGACTTTTAAGTTGTTTAAAAAAGATATTTGCAATGAATAAGTCATTGGTTTTACAAAATTCTATTATGTGATCTCCAGCATCATTTCTATCATCAAGGTCATATTTTCTAACTACTGATCCTCTTTGTTTCCATCTTTCACAATTCAATGACAGGTGATTATCAATACATCCTAATTGTATGTTTTTTCAATTTCAGACTAAAGAAATTGGTAAAATTCTTCAATTTCTTCATCTCTGGCTTTAGTGGTTGGCACATAAATTGGAATAATATCGATATTGGTATTCTAGGGCTTAGAAACAAAATATTTCATTAAGAAGTCACATTATTAATGTGACTTTGGTTTTTTTAAATCTAAAACATTTGATGAATTTAAGTTTGATTTTGGACTCCATTTCTAAATATATATTTTATTATGTTACTAGGAATTGGAAAGACATAAATGCTAACAAGTATGTTGAATATTTCATTGAATAAATGAATAAAGGCCATTATGTGGGAAATACTTATAAGAAATAAAATGTTTAGACTGGTTTGAAAAATAAATCAACCAAGTTGGAACTATTATCCTAAGAATTTTCTTTGCTGAGATTATATAATTTCTGTCTTTTGGGACTGTACTACGGGTAAACTAAAGCAATTTTAAAAAAGTTGTTCTAATTCTACACTTTTGGAGCATGTGCAACACAAACAGTAAAATTATTTGTATATATCATGGAACTTAGATTTAAGAAAAACAATGTTATTTATGAATAAGTTTTTACTAATCTATCAACAACCTACAAAATGCTCTCATTTTAAAAAACAAACATTTTGATGTTATTTCTTTCTACTTACTACAGTTAAATATTTGACATATAAAGTAAAAAATCCCCATGATTCTACCTTCTAAGATGTTCTCTAGAGTCTAAGGTATAGTATATCAGATTTGATGTACTAATTTGTTAAGAACACAAGATTATATTCTAATGTCATGTTTTGCAACTTGCATTTTCACTGGGTAACTTCCTTGAGACATTCAAAAGCACATTTTCAAAAAAAAAAAACCCCTTCATTAAAAAAATAAAAAAGTCCCAGATATATCTAAAAATCCCACTTCCAAAAGTTTATAAAATATGATAGGTAAAACTTTAAAACAGTTGAACTTACTAATCTTGAACCATTAATAGAAACAATAAAATCAAAGAATGGCTCCAGTCCAGCTCTGTGTCCTGGAGAATTTTCTTGCACCTGTAAAAAACAATGCCAAGCATTAAAAATGAAAGCTTAACTAAAAACTGTATGCTAAACTTAAATAGCTATTTCTTCTCAGTAAAAATAGATACACTGCATGGGTAAGGAAATATAGTGACAGACTGTTCTCTTATTTTCGTCTCTTCTAGATAATCCCCTCCCTGCTCCCTACTCTACTCATTTTTCCAGTCCATTTCTCCCACAAAGTTTCCTCCTCATGGTTCTATTTCACACCACTTTTCACTTTTTTTTTTTGGGGGGGGGGAGGCATTCCTCAGCATTTAGCCCATGACATACCAAAACTCCCATTGCTATCAAGTCAATTATGATTCATAGCCACCTGATAGGACAGAGCAGATCTATCCCATTGGGCTTCCGAGTTTGTAACTCTTTGCAAAAGCAAACTGCCACATCTTTCTGCCATGCAGTGACTGATGGGTTCAAACCGCTGACCAAGCAGCCAAGTGTATAACTAGGGATGTTGTTGTTGTTAAATGCCATCGAGTCGATTCCGACCCATAGCGGTCCAAGGAGCAGCTGGTGAGCTTGAACCACTGATATTGCAGTTCAAAGGACTTTGTAGTCAGACGTATTAGCCAACAGCACCACACCAGGGCTAGCACACAGTAAACCATTACAAACAAGTGACAAATGCAAATTAATTTACTGAGCATTTCTTCCATTACTACACTTGGCCTGGTACAATTCAGTTACAAAACTAACATAGGAACACTGACCCCAAGAAAGGCAGTCTGATGGGGGAAACAGAAGAGGAAAGAGCCACAAAGAACACTCAGACCTCTAATCACTGTACTAAGTTCTAAGAAGATTAATTGTGATTAAAGTGACACTGAATTGGACTTTCAAAAATAACTTTCAAAGGTGAAGATGGAAAGGGGATAAGGAAGGACATTTGAAAGCCAAAGAAATAATATGAATAAAAACACAGGAGTTTGAAAAATGAGGATAATTTAGTGTAGCTACTTGATGGCAATTAACAACAGCACAACAGGATGGTATAGGACAGCAGTAGAGAATTACAGATTTTGAAAATTAGAATTGCCTCAGAAATCCTCTAATCCTGGGTTAATGGATGGCTTCAGGAAGAGTCCTGAAATTGTATGTAGCATTTTAAAATAAATGAGCAGTTTTTGCTAAATCTCAAACGATTTATTTATGACCCATAGATTTGATGTTGTTGTTAGGTGTGATAGAGTTGGTACCGACTCATAGTGACGGTATATAGGGTTTCCAAGGAGTGGCTGGTGTGCTTGAACCACCAACCTTGTGGTTCAAACTGACTTTGCAGCCCAGCACATTAACCTACAGTGCCACACCACATGAAAATTGTTGTTGTTGTTAGGTGCCATTGAGTCAGTATCAACGCATAGTGACCCTATGCACAACAGAATGAAACACTGCCCGGTCCTGGGCCAACCTCACAATTGTCGCCACACTGATGCTGCCATATTGCCAATCCATCTCACTGGGGGTCTTCCTCTTTTTCTCTGACCCTTCACTTTACCAAACATGATCCTTCTCCAGCGACTGGTCCCTCCTGACAATGTATCTGAAGTATGAGAGACGAAGTTTGGCCATCCTGGCCTCCAAGGATCACTCTGGCTGCACTTCTTCCAACAAAGATCTTGTTTGTTCTTTTGGCAGCCCATGGCACTTTGAATATTCTTCTCCAACACCATAACTCAAATACATCAATTCTTCTATGGTCTTCCTTATTCACTGTCCAGCTTTCGCATGTGTATGAGGTTACTGAAAATACCATGGCTTGGGTCAGGTGTACCTTTGGCCTCAAGCTGACATCTTTGCTCTCAACACTTTAAAAAGGTCTTGTGCAGCAGATTGCGTAAAGCAGTATCTCATTTGAATTCTTGACTGCTGCTTCCATGAGTGTTGATGGTTGATTCAAGAAGAATGAAGTCCTTGACAACTTCAATCTTTTCTCCATTGGTAAGAATGTTCGTTATTGGTCCAGTGGTGAGGATTTTTGTTTTCTTTACATTGAGATGCAATCCATACCAAAGGCTGTAATCTTTGATCTTTATCAGTAAGTATTTTAAGCCCTCTTCACTTTAAGTAAACAAGGTTGTATCATATGCATATCTCAGGTTGTTAATGAGTCTTCCTTCAATCCTGATGCCACATTTTTCTTCATAGAACCCAGCTTCTCAGATTATTTGCCCTGTCAGACTGCCACAGGTTGAATGTATGGTGAAATGTATGCATACCTTTCTTAATTTTAAACCATTCAATGTACCCATGCTCTGTTTGAACAACTGCTCTTGGTCCACGTACAGATTCCTCATGAGCACAATTAAGTGTTCCGGAATACTCATACTTCACAATGTTGTCCATAGCTTGTCATGATCCACACAATCCACACAAGCCTTTGCATAGTCAATAAAGCTCATGTAAACATCTTTCTGGTATTCTTTGCTTTCAGCCAAGATCCATGGGACATCAGCAATGCTATCTCTTGTTCCACATTCTCTTCTGAATCTGGCATGAATCTCTGGAAGTTCTCTATCAATGTATTCTTGCAGCTATTTCTGTATTACACCTTTAATAAACTTTACTCACATGGGATATCAAAGATATTGTCCGATGATTTCTGTATTCCACTGGGTCACCTCTCTTTGGAGTGGGCACAAGTACAGTTCTCTTCCAATCAGTTGGCCAGATAGTTGTCTTCCAAATTTCTTGGCACAGATGAGTGAGTTCCTCCAGTGCCGTCTCACTTTCTTGAAAGATTTTAATTTGTATTCTATCAATTCCTGCTGCCTTGTTCTTTACCAATTCCTTCAATGCACTTTGGACTTCTTCCTTCAGTATTATTGACTCTTGATCGTATGCTACCTCTTGAAACGGTTGAACATTAACCATTTCCTTTTGGTATAGTGACTGTGTATTCTTTCCATCTTCTTTTGATGCTTTCTGCATTATTCAATAAGATTTGATAGTCACTGATTTTGTGCAATTATTTCATTGTACAGGTGGATAAACCAGTCTGTGACATGTCTCTGGTACCATAGCTAGCTAGTGGCAGCAATAACTCAAAAGTACAATGGAAAATGGAATGAAAAGATATTGGAATTTTTCACTAACTTCTTGAATTCCATTGTGCATCTCCCAAGGAGTCCTAGTGGTGCTGTGAATTAAGCATTGGGCTGCTAACTGCAAGGTCAGTGGTTCAAAGCCACCAGCTGTGCTGTGGGAGAAAGATAAGGCTGTCTGTCACTGTAAAGGAGATTTAGTCTTGGGAACCCTGTATATAGTTACTATGATTCAGAATCAATTTTATGGCAGTGAGTTGGGTATTTGGGTTTTGTGTATCTCCCACCAGCTTCTGCAAAGATTGCAGTCTTGGAAACCTTATATAGGGTTGCTATGGAGTTGGGACTGACTTGATGGCACACAAACCAACACCATCACCAAACAAAAAAATTAAAATAAACTATTAATTTTCCAAATTTACAGTAATAAAACATTAGTAGTTAGAAATAGTAATAGTAGGAACATCACAAAATAACAAAAAGCCAATACAATCAACTTGCATTTCCTTTTCCAAAATATTTTTTTAATGTTTACAAGTATTTTTATTCTGTTTGATGCTGTTAAGTACTATCAAAACCATCCTACAGAGATGAAACGTTTGCATTGTTTTTATAGGTTGATTTTTTATAATTGTTCAAACAGTTCTAATAGTCAATACTAAAGTTATGCAAATAGACATACTCATTCTACATAAAGCTGTAGCTATTTATATGGTAACAAATTAAAGTTTATAAGTGAACCCAGTGGTCCCCAGAATTATTGTTGTTAAGTGCTGTTCAGTTGGTTCCTAGTCATAGCTACCCTGTACAGGGTTCCCAAGAGTGCCTGGTGGGTTTGAACTGCCGACCTTGTGGATCACAGTCCAGTGCTTATCCTACAGTGCTATATCATACTTCCTTCTAATGTTAGACAATCTCCATCAGAAGCATTCATCACTTATTAGACCGTTACCTTTAAGTTATTTAAAGCCAAATTATACAATCATTGCCTTTTCAAGAAATAAAACCTCATTTTCTTCATTTGTCACAGTAAGAGAGTTATCCATTTATCCATTACAAAAATGGTTCAATGTTTAACTTACTTACATGGTTTAATTACACTTTGTAGGTTTCCTACAAATCTGGGACCAAACTTTTTTTTTTGGTAAATTACACAAGTTAATTAAAATCAAAGGGATTTGTTATTTAAAGGTGTTAGAACTAACAAAAATAACCAGTGCATATTTTGTTTAGTTTCTTTACATTCAGTTTTCTTAAATGGGTGACAGAGTGAGTCCATATATTATCAAACAAAATGTCCAGAGCCCAAAATAGCTTTATCCTCAAATGCCTACTCAGAAAAGTAAGTGGTGGCGGTGTGGAGCTATAATGAGAAGAAATGTGAGAGCTAGCAGACAAAAAAGGCATGATCGATTCAGTGTGAAATGCCTGTACAAGGAGTGCCTATCAATTAGATGTAAAAGGAAAGAGGAGCATCAGCACAGAACCCTAGGAGCCTCCCCTCTCCGCCATACAGAGTGGAGTTTCTCATTACCTAGGGACAACATGTAATCATCTGATTCTCTGAATTGGAATATTTCTAACTGACCACTTAACTGGACCAATAAGCAACATTCTGATCAACAGAGGTAAGATTGAAGTTGTCAAGGACTTCATTCTTCTTGGATCAACTATCAACACTCAAGGAAGCAGCAGTCAAGAAACCAAATAACATATTGCATTAGGCAAATCTGCTGCACAAGACCTTTTTAAAGTATTTAAAGCTGTCAGCTTGAGGACTAAGGTGCGCCTGACCCAAGCCATGGTATTTTCAATAACCTCATATGCATGCGAAACTGGTCAGTGAATAAGGAAGACCGTATAACTGATGCATTTGAGTTATGGTGTTGGAAGAGAATACTAAAAATGCCATGGACTGCCAAAAGA